GATGTCTGTGTGAGAGAGTGAATGAGACGAAGAGAAAGAGAAAAAGATACAAATGGATTAATACAATGATTAGAAGGAAGTGACACAAAAGTTTTTAACTCGTCATTATTGAGACACGTCTGATAAGGATTCGTTGTAAATGTTAACAAATTGACGTGGAGGGAGAAATTGGTTCATTTGAGGAATCTTGCACCTTATCTGTATAATATTCATCGTGCGGGATTAGTGCACTGTGATCTTCATGGCGGAAACATCGTTTTGAACAAGTACAATAATCCACGGATATGTGATCTTGGTCTGTCTCGATCAGTGAATTCACGTGAGTCAACCATTCCGAGGTGTTTTGCCTTTTGTTGTACCGGAAGTCTTTCATACCTGCAAGTTTACGAAGAAATCAGACATATATTCTTTTGGTATCATTATGTATTTGGTTGCTACTGGCGAGCCACCTTTCAGAAATAGGCAGTTTGACAGAGATTTAGTATGCGATATTATGAACGGACTACGACCATCGATGCCTGATTCCGCACCGGAGGAATACAAGAAACTTGCCGAGCGGTGTTGTGATGCTGACCCTGATAAGCGTCCTGATGCAGCGACACTTTGGAGGGATATTGACACGCTGGCTGGCAAGGACAATTCTGATGACAACCCATGGAATACTATCTATCATAACGATGTAAAACCATTGTCACGTCTCGAGAAGGAGAGTAAATATTCTAGTACACTCTTACCTACTAGGGATTTGCCCAAACCAAGAAATACATCTCGTCAGTTGCCTCCCTTATCGGATTTCAGCTTGCCAAGTTTAGATACAGACTTAGGAAAAATTGACGAGGAGTAAGGGAGGTAGTTTGGGTTTAGCGCGGTTACGAAGATGGCAATTGGTTCTGTTCATATATACGGAGTCAGTCTACAATTTTAACATAGTTCATTGCTAATGAATTAACGAATCCAACAACACGTAATTTACAGTTTATACAACTTTGTAAGATACCGAAATGAAGTCGTGTCACGTTTACTATTAGTTGCCTTTGCAAGGGGGTAGATTATTTGAATATGTAAACACAGAGTACATTTTATGAAACTGGCAGCGAGTTGGTCGACAAATAATAAAAGTCAGGATTTTGACATTGAATGATGTTATTTGAATCCTAGACAAGCGCAATGGTTACTAGCTAGTTAAATACCACAGCCAAACCATTCAATAAACATTTTACTTTTCATCCTTAATAAGTTGCTTTTCAAACCTTTCACTTTTTCATTTGATATACTGCCGACAAACTTCTCAACTTTATTGAGTAGTCTTTCTTCTCCATGGTTATGCCTCAATTCTCGACGATTCACGAAGGAGATCGTCATTATGCACTCTGTTTTGAAAATAAAGCGTGCAATTTGATATAATTCAGAAAAAATTGTTATATCGAATTATGCATCATTATTTCTCACTTTATTAATTCTAAATTCACGCAACTTGATATCTAACTTCTCACTCTGCATCGGTGAATTCTGAATGAAACAATAAATAAAGTTTCCGTTACTCATAATTATAATGGGGTGTTTAACGTACAGTAATCCGGGAGTATTAAGGTTGCGATTTACCAGAAACATAAATTCGGTGCTTATGACGATCTATCGAAAACGCTCCATTATTTTCCTTCCGTAATCACTCGTCCAATAAATATGCAATCAATCGTTTTACAACCTCGACACTAATACTATTACCCAAGAGTCTATATCTCTGCTTAAGGCTTATATGCTCAGGGAATGAGAAATCGCGAGGAAAGCCCAAAATAGCGGAAATTTCACTCGGCGTGAAGTAGCGGAGGTTGAGGATGGAATAAGCGGATGTGGATGTGGCGACCGTATCCGCACCAACGGTAGCTGCTGCAACCGTACTTGTGGTTTTATCTGTTGAAAGAGTGAGAAAGCATGCGTTTGTCTTTTGGCGCTGCAAGTCAGTGTATTGTAAAAAAGTGTTTGGAGATGACTACATCATTCTCATATACTTACATCAATATCCTCATTCATTTGAAGGATTGATCCCGTCGCTTCCACATAATGATAATAGCCTAATCAATGAATGACAAGTAAAAAGAATTCATTAAAGTGCTATCCGGGAATCTGTTTATCACCATGACGACAAAGAAAATATCCCATCATTGGCTAAATTACCCACCTTTAGTAAAGCAACAACTTTGTTGTGATGACGGCTTCACAATATCTTTGAGGAAAAAGTAAAACGGGTAAGCCACCAAGATAAAGAACGACAAAAAGAAATTAAGTTTTGAGATAAGATTCAAAACCGAACAAATTACGTGAACACGCGAATTACAAGCGTTTACCAAAAAGCTGTCCATACTTCACCAATGTCTACAATAAACAATAAGACAACTTTGTTTACACACGTTTCTTTTCTGCACGTCAACGAGAAGATTTCGCGCATTCAATGTTTGCACATTCATCCATTCTTCACCTTCTCTTTGATCCTGTACTTTTCTCCCTCGGATACGTCCAGCTGTTCCAAATAGTCTTTAATTTGCCTTGTGTGTAAAGAACGTTCAGGTATATATCCGGGAATATGGTCGTGGACTTGATCTATGGCAGGAAGAGCTGAAGAAAATGCGCGCGGAAGTTTCTTTGCCTACGCCATAGGAGAGAACAAGGATAAAATTCTGTCAATAGGCTTTGTATAAATGAATAAGTCGACACGGAATTGGAAGCAGTTTCTCGGATTAACATGTGAAAGAACGCAAGCTTCCTTTAATAGAACATTACCAGCAAATAATATCTCAACCTTGAATTCGGAATACCTAATTGTATGGGAGATATTAGAAACTCTTGATATGCATAATTTAGAGACGTCAATCTGGATATTAAAGTCTCTCGTGTTGATGATGTCTGTATGAGAATAAAAAGAAAAAAAAAAGAAATTTTTGTAAATATAAGCAACGTCGTGTTGTAGTGACATGACATCAATTTAGTCATCGTTCTACGTCCACACATACACTTGACGTATATGCCATCACATGCGTGCTCCTCTCACATTAGTACGAGTATATTGAAGCTATTGATACTGTTGCTAAGATGCCGATATTACAATCAGACTTCATTACTTGTAATAATAATCGAATCCAACATACTTCGAATCCGCGTACATTCTCCACCAACAAAAATTCCGGCATATTTTCTTTTTCCATACTCCCCAACACATCCATTACATGCAAAAATGACTTTGCTCTCTCATCAGCGCAGCCTTTCTGAAGGCCAGTACGTGTGTACGGCTGACAAGGCGGTGAGAGGAGCCAAAGCGTTGCCGCGAAAGAAGAAAAGTATGTGTATGGCAGCGAGTCTATGTTACGCTTCGGTGAGTCAAAAAAAAAAAAGATAAAGGAGAATGCATGAGGCACAACTAGTTAGTCGGAATATCGGATAGCGGTCGAAATTCATTTCTTTTCATTAAAAATGCATCATCGAGAAAGAATAGAAAGCACGTGCATACTTGAACAACAACATCCCTCCCCTCTTTACAAAAATTATACCTATATACTTCATTGGCTGTATTGTTGATATCGAACGCAGCGAGTATCTCACCACTATGTCCGGACGCTTTAAATGCATAGTGCTTTTGGAAGGAGAAATACACGTTAAGTATAGGGGAAAAATGATATAATATTAAATGGTGAAGGCTATCATGATACTACCATTCCTCCGATACCAGAATAGAATTCCAAAACGCGGTGGTTTCGTGCCATACCAGCAAAGAGACTAGAACAAAAAAAACTTGCACAATTTTATTTTATCGTGTTACATCACGTGACTATATAACGAACAATGCTGTGAAGAAAAATTTTGCTCTGCGGCAATTTCCCCATTGACTCAGAAGTCGGACGAAGATGGGATAGGACAGTGGTAATGACAAGCAAGTAACAAATATTCTCCCATTGACTCGGAGGTCAACCCTCACAATTCAAAGATCGAAATTAACAAAGAAAGAATATAAACTTTACCTCAAAAAAAAAATTTTTTTTATACGAGCTTGTGCCAACGCTCTCCATTCCGGCTTTTTTGGCAATAAAAACAAAAAATAATCTTGACTTTTCTTTTGTAAATATAGAGCATTGCCGCGATGAGAATATGAACATGACACTCGTTTTGATAAATTGGTCAAATAACTGTAGAAACCCACTAGGTGAGAACACCCAGACATCAATATTACAATAGAATTCTCGCTCCTCTTCAAATCCAATTATATTTGCAAGAAGATTTTCCGAGATGAAGTAATTTACACCGTAAATTCAGAATGAAGGTAAAAAATAAGCACAACAGTATTCTGATGCGTCAAACTCGCACCATAATTTGATCGTGCAATACATGTGATGGGAACCATGTAAAAGAGTTTAATTAAATGTTCGAGTCGCATATAATTATCCAATTTTACCGTTTTTCGTAGAACAAAATTTGGTTGTAGGTAAATTCGTAATTTTGTTACAATTTTTTGTGCATATATTGCCTATAAGGTGCGCCAATTCTGTATTGGATTTGCAGTAATTGCATCACTCGTTATGCCAATACTCTCATTAATTGCAAATGTAGGAGTGGTCGGTAATTTTGAAAGTCAAAAAATGTCAACCATGGCATTTGATTTGCCCATTTTTAACTTCTAGACTTGCATAACTGGAGGAGAAGAGTTTTTCTTGTTTGCAGTCCATTTTCCTAGGCGAGACGCTTGCCTGCCACGTGTGGCTATCGTATACAAACTATACTTCGACTTGACATACGCATTCGGCTTGTGCATATTGAAATGATTTTTGTGTAAAATTTCCGTATCATCAATTTTTTGATTTTTACGTGCAGCGTGTGAACGCGATGGGCCTATCCTGAGGGTTCTTCTCAGCATCGCTTCAGTGATGGGCTCCATGTGACTAGCGCTAT